TATATATATATATATATAAAAAAAACAACTTTTTGAACTGTAAGGTGGTATCTTGCAAACCAGCTGCTTGAGAAAGGGGGTTAACTAATATAAAGTCTTCATCCTAATTCTGTGAGAAGCTGCTATAGTTCAGGGTCTGAAGTTATTATAGTTTCTGTGCCTATTCATCTGCTACACCAGACCCTAATTCGTTTAACAAATTGATGATCCTAAAATGAATGATATGATATCTCATACATGCAGAGGTTTGAGGGCAATGTGAAGAGTTTGCTATTGGGGATTTGCCAGAATTGCAGTAGATAATAACATTGTCTGGGTTCTTGGTTGAGGTGCAGTTTTCATCAACACTTTTTGTTCTTTTTTCCTTTGTCTCCTGTTGTATTTCCTGAATATTTCTTTCAGAAGAGAAGAAAATCATATGGCTTGAGAGCAAATGTCAATTCAGAGCCCCTCTGCTGATTGGCCTGGAGACCCTCTTCAGATTGCCTCGTTATGGAATTCTGAAGTCCGTGTGATCATTCACTTTGTACCACTTGATTTTGAAGACGACCTTGGTCATTCTTGCTGGCTCGGAGAGCTGTTTCTATGGGCTACCATTAATCAGTGGTGAAGCTTCTGAGTGTTGTTTTTCACAAACATACTAAACCTGATGCACTCTAGAGCCGCTTTTCTAAGAAGCAGATGATTTTTGCTAACCATGTCACAGGCTGAATGGGTATCACAGCCCTCTAAGTGTGTAGGCCTGTGTTATTAGTCACTCTGGAAATTGTTGATCTACGTTAATGTTGAGTGTATTGTGTTTTAAGGTGTTGAGGAAAATGCAGAGACGGCATAGCAGCAACACTGATAACCTTCCTCCTGAAAGGTAAGTCTTCTTCCTTCCTCTGTTTCCTTATCAATCCTCTTCAAAGGGAAATATTTGGGTTAAAGTTTTGGTGCACTTCATATGGTTAGAAAATAAAATCTGGAGTAAGAAAGGAATATTTCCCATTGTCTATAGCAAGACAAAGCTTGCTAGGTGGATTAGGATATGTTCATTTCTGTATGAAATATCAGCTACTTGTCTCTGCCAGGTGCAAAATGTGACCCACTGGGCCAATCTGCTCTTGTTCCCATGGTTTCTTTTTTAAAGAGAAACAGCCAGCTGAATTAAGGCTAAACATTAAGTTGTGTGCATATTTGCAGTTAAACCTTTTTCCAAACTCAGCCTAACCCAGACTCCTGAAAACTGAATTTTGTGAAACTATCACGGTTGTTCTGGCCAATTTTGCTCTTGTGCTACCCCTAAATTCAAGAGGAGAATCCATTTTTGTGATGGTCCTGACCACTATAGGTCTAGACATGAGGCCTGTTCAGGAGTGGAGGTCCTTTACTGGTCTGCCCTTGAGGAGTTCCCAGAATAATTTATCCTCAGCTCAGTGGTGTTAACGAGCTCTCCTAGTCTGAAGTTGCCAGATAGAATCATAGAAAATTAGGGTTGGAAGGGACCTCAGGAGGTCATCTAGACCAGCCCCAACAATATCTTCCCCACCAAGACTTTGTCTACCCAGGTCTTAAAATTCTCCAACACAAGTATACAGTACCACAACAGCAAATGAAAGGGACATATCTTTCAAAGTGATTTGGGAATCACAGTGAATGAGCTAGTTAAAATTTTGCACCTTGTTGTGGTGCTGAACTCAGTTCCAGGACTAGAGAAGTAATTTTCTAGTGCTGAAAAGCAGCCTCTTTGGGCAGGTAGATGGACTTAAAGTGTATGTGTGTGTAAAGCAGACTTCTTTTACACTTGGCGGACTGAAATTACTGAGGACTCAATAGTGAAAGTGATACTTGACTATAAGCAGTAACTACTGACATGCTCCTTGCTGGAGTTATAAGTTACAGTTTTCCACTAGGGTAGAAAAAGGGAGTCTCTTCCTTGGGGCCATAAAGTAAGAGGAGTTCAGCACTATTTCTGAATGCCTGGTAACCTACTACTCTGCTGCCTACCAGCAACTATTTTTTCCTTGAAGCATGCTGGCAAGGTGTCTTTGCTGTCTCAGCCAGTTTTCTGTCCACCTTACAGTCCATTCATCCGACCTGCACTTCCTTAACTTGCATGTGAAAATGTGGGAGACCATATCAAAAGCCTTGCTAAAGTCAAGGTATATCATGTTCACTGCTCTTCTTGAATCCACAGAGCTAGTCATCTTGTCATGGAAGGCAATCAGGTCGGTCAGGCATGACTTGCCTTTGGTGAATCCATGCTGACTGTTCCTGATCACCTTCTTCTTCTCCAAGTGCTTAAACATAGACTCTTTAAGGACCTGCTCCATGATTTTTCCAGGGACTGAGATGAGGCTGACCAGTCTGTAGTTCCCTGGCTCCTCCTCCTTCCACCCCTTAAAGATGGGCACTATATTTGCCCTTTTCCAATCATCCAGGACCTTTCCCGATTGCTGTGAGTTTTCAAAGATAATGGCCAGAGGCTCTGCAATTAAATTGGCCAATATGATCATATTATCCCAAATTTTATGAAAGTTTTGTAGGGTCCTTGGTGTATTTGTAAAACCAGGGTTTATCCTTGTGCCTGTGGACAGCTAAGAATAGAATCCTTCTACTAAGCAAAAAAAGTAACACTTCAGTGAAAGAAAATATGTATTTTTTTGTCATTTTTAATATTAAGCAAAGCTGTGTGCTTGCATGTGGCTAGGGGAAGAAGTCCAAACATGAACTTAATCAGAAACCAAAATAAAATGTATTTTTTTTGCACGTTTCTGTCCAAGACCAGGTTTTGCAGGAGCACGTTAAGTCTTGTGTGCTAATCAAATTCTAATGTATGTCACATTGATTCACAGAGAAAAAAAGGCTGTGCAATTGTTTTAAGTTACTTTCGTGCTCTAAAATAGCCTTGCCTCACACTTGCAGTGGTGTAGTCAAACCGAGTGCCTGTGCATTATGGGCTGTGCACTGAAAGGGAAGATATTTGGAGTTGAGCAGTACAGTGGAAGTTCAATGGACTCTTCACATTGGTGAAGCAATCCTTTGGTTCCTTCTAAAACACTGGGATCTGTGCGGATGAAAGGTGCAGTGCAAAATCAGCTCTGGATCTGTATCAGATACAAAAAATTGAATAATACCTTATAAATTTAACTTCAATAATCTAACTTTAATAAGATAAAAGTATTGCTGGGAACACAGGCAAGGATTATTTTAAATTATTAAATTATTTTGAAGATATAGGGTGAAATATTGACCCAATTGAAGATCCAGGCCAGGCACCTAGATTTCAGAGAGATCAAGATTTTATCCATAATATTTACCTGACAATAATGCTTTTTAAATATGTGCTGAAAGAAGCCGTATACTCTGGTAGCATTTTTCCAGACAACATCAATGTGTTACCTTGTATAGGTCCATATTCCAGTGTTAAACTGTGCATACTCATCATGTTCCTGGGGATGCATACAGAACTACTGTTGGTATTTTGTATCCAACCCTGATAAATGGCAACAAATGTTTCATCCAGTACCTGGCTGGTTAATTCTGAACCATGAAAAAATGATTCTTCACACATGCCTGCAAAGAGACTCGCTCTGGGAGTGGGGGATGGCTATAAAAAGCCTTGTTGAGAGCTCTCTTAGTGGGGAGAGGTGCCTGGTGAGAATTGGAGCTAAATCTAGAGGGAAATGAAATGCAAAGTTCTGTGCTAGGTTAGATGGCCAGGAAAGATGATGAGCTTGTGGAGAGACAGGCTAAGGGAGGTGCAAGCAGTGTGTGTGTGTGTATGTGTGTGTGTTATTTCTGGAATTGAAGATCTACAGGGATTAAAATCAGGAGAGACCATAGCCCTGCAATGAATGTCTTTGTGGGTTAAGATTATTGCTGGGCTTTATTTGTTACTCTCTTTGCTGCTTAGACAATTGTTTGCTTTACGTTGGACATTTTCTTGACTTGTGACTTGATTTAAGTGTCTCCTTTTGGGTCCCCATGAGGCCAAGACCTTCCGTACATTCACATAAGTGCCATGCCACTGAGTTTAGGCAAACAAAGCGTTCTTTTTCTTAGCATTTGGCATTGGGGTGAGACGGTCTGAATTCCACCCCTCATTTTGGAAACTTTCTGTAGGCTGTGGGCTATCTCACCAGTTCAGGACACAATCAGTGCCCAACCCAAGTCCGTTTCAGACACTTATCTTGGAGCACAATTTACTGGTTGAACAGAAAATTGCTTTGTTTGGGTGGCACCAGCAATTTGCCTAACTATTTTTGTCTCTTGAGTCATATGACAGGCTGTTAGCTTTTAACTCTTTTCTCACTGTTTTACTCTGTCTCTCTCCTGAGTGAACATCTGTTGACCATGTCTGAATAAAGTGGAAAAAGCCTGAGTATTGGGGAGCGTAGGTTAATTCTTCCAATTGGTCTGATTAACTCATTTAGATATAATCCCAGATTCTTGGTGATAACATCGTAAATCACTGGAAACAGTCATTTATTTTACACCCATTATATATTTAACATCAAAACCATTTTAGAAAAGTTGGGAGAGTACTGAATTTAGCTTTAACTGGCTTATTTCTTGTGAGATGCTCAGGATTTTTTTGGGCCATAGATGATGGAAATGATGTTGTTTGACCAGTACCTTGTAAACTCTGTAGTCTTGGGAAAAGGAATAGTGTCTAGCCCTGGCAGCTTAGAACATTAGGAGGATGCTTTTCCCACTTCACAACCTGTACTTTAATCTCCGTCCCATCTTGTCCATTGGGGTTCCCACAGCAGAAACCGCAGTCAGACCGTCAGTTCTGAAACCAGCGTGGATGAAGGTGGGGTTTTTGAAGGACTGAAGGCTGAAGCTTCTTCACCACAGCAGCTCTTCTCAGGGCTGGCAGGGATCCCCTCTGGCACCATCACAGCTACCCCATTCCAGTCAGGTTTGGTTCTGGGCTCTTCAGAAGGAGGCGGAGAGGTCTTCATTCAGATGCCAGCCTCAAGGGAGGAAGGGGCCACTCGGACAGAGGGAGCTCCATTCCACCACCGGCAACAGCCCCATCACTACCACCATGGCCATCATCGAGGATCCTCCCTGCTGCACATGGCTGGTGGGGATCGCCATGGACATGCAGAAGAAGGCACTGAGGATCAGGCTGGGACTCCAGCCCCAGCCCTCTCAGAGTTGAAGGCTGTGATTGGCTGGCTCCAGAAAGGGCTTCCTTTCATCCTGATCCTCTTGGCTAAAGTTTGTTTCCAGCATAAGCTCGGTAAGCACCCCGCTTCCTATCTTCGTTTGATTGTAAGGCTCCTGGTGGTCAGGCAGCTCAGACTTGCCAGGATGTCTGTTACAATCCCTAGAAATAGTAAATTTCATGCACAAAATGCAGGCTCTGAAATTGGAGACAATTCTTGTTGTACGTCCTATCTTTATCCCCTAAATTATTATTTGCTGTTGTTAGAGCTGAATTAGGGCTATGCTTGTCCCACTGTTTGGGAGACGCTGATTGTGCCTGGTCCTGGCCACTTCCCATATCCATCAGAGGCTGATGGTGCTGTGAAGAATCCTTGAATTTCTTTAGGAGAGATGAGAGAATGGGAATGTGTTGTGTCACTCAGAGTCCCTTACTGGTCAGCTTATGGGTGGCAATGAAGGTCTGAGAAAGGACTTGATGCTTGTGTGTGGCCAGCAGGGTTGTAGTTGTGAAATGAGGGCCTGAAGGAATCATCGGTTTAAATTCTACTGCTGAGATTTTCAAAACTGCCTAATACAGGCAGTTCCCTTTTATTTTAATAGTCATTGGGCATTCTGGTGACCTTGAAATTTCAGTCTGCAAATCTTTAAATATCAAAATGCAAGTGGGCTCTATCTGGTGAATTTCACTTTTTAAGGAAGTGACAATGCTAAGCTCACTAGACAGAGGAGGCATAACATGGAAATTGAAGCCCTTCAGGCCTCTACTGATATTCCTGGTAATGTATATCACTGTGTGTGTCAACATCTTACTTTTGCTCCCTTGGTCTCCCTACATAGCTTTGCCAGTGCACCTCGGTTTCAATTTGTAGAATCTGTTACTATTCCAGACCTGCAGCACTTTCACCCTTCTGGATCTGTTATGAAGGGCCTGCCATTTGTGCAGAACATGTATCAAACTGTTTAGTAGTTTGTGATTCTGGGCCAACATCCACCAGACATGACAGACAGCTTCATGTTCATTTGGCTTGAATGTGAATCTTATATGAACCTTGGTCTCGAGCTTAGTTGCCAGTAATCCTGCAGTAGCACCTACCGTAGCCAGAAATCACAAGTCTATTTGTTTAATAAAAAACAACCAAAACCCTAAAATGTTGAGTGCACCATAATTTTTCAGTCTAGATCCTGCCTGCCTAGGCCTATGGCATTTTGACAGGTGTCTTTCCTTGCAGGGATTGCTGTGTGCATTGGTATGGCCAGCACATTTGCGTATGCCAACTCAACGCTCCGAGAACAGGTTGCTTTGAAGGTAAGTACAGCGCCTTGTTCCATTGTGCTTCTGAAATACATTGTTTTGAATATGCATAACTACACTGATGTCAGACCTTTGTCGCTGTATTATGTAACTTATACAATTAATGTGTATAAATTTCGTAATGTATATGAATAATCTAACTGCCCATGGTCCTTGTGTGTGCATATAGCCACACCCACACCCTATCCCTGTTTTTCAAGAGACACGATACAGTGGTCAGAAGATGAGGATGAAAAATAGAGAACTGATTTTTATTCCAGGGCTTACCACTGACTGGCTTTACCCCATACATGAAAACAGAAATGACAATATACATGTCAACAAGATGCTGTTAGATTTGATTCATTATTGTTTTCAGAGTACTTAGACATTTTCAAATGAAAGATGCTATAGAAATATTATTTTTAATATATTTAAATGCTCTCTTGCTATTCCTATTATTTGTAAACAAATCAGTAGGCTTCTTTGGGTCTCGTGGTTCCTAGAGGAACTGATACCCTTGCAATACAGGATTGAGGATACAGTAACACAGGGGTAGGTAACAGGACTGTGCGAAGCTTCGGTCACCAATTCAATTCAGAGGCGATTCGATGGCTGAATCTCTGAATCTGAATTGAATCGGGAGACCAATAAAAAGGTCTGAATCAATCTGAAGCCTCCGAATCAATTCGGAAAAGATTTGGGGAGATTCGGGCAGCCCCCACTTGCCACTGCAGGGAGCTGGACCCGGACTCCGTGCCAGTAAGTGGGGTGGGGGTGCGGGGCTGGAGGAGGAGGGAGGGGACCATGGGGAGGGACCCCCGCCAAGCCCCATCCTCTGCCTGCTCCCCCAGCCCACTGTCCCAGCCCCATCAATGGCTGCCCCACCCGGCCCCAGCATCCCAGCACTTTAAAAAAATAAATAAATAAAAACCTAGCATTCACCGGCTGTGTGTCAGACCCTCTGGGACGTTGTGACAGAGCCCCCACACACAGTGGGGGGCAGTGGGGATTGCCCCCCCATCTGGCCGCAGCTGGTGAGTGTGGGGCGCTTTTTTATTTATTTATTTTTAAAGTGCTGGGACACTGGGGCCAGGCGGGGCAGCCATTGACAGGGCTGGGAGAGCGGGCGGGGTTTGGGGCCTGTTCGATTTGGAGATTTGGCCAATTCTGCGGTGGCCGAATCTCCAAATCGGATTTGGCCAAATCAGTTCAGGACAGTGATTCGAATCACTGAATTGAATCGCTGTCCCCTGAATCAGCCAAATCCGAATCCAAAGCGAATACTAGCCACTTCACATAAGCCTAGTAGGTAACCCCTGGCACAGGTGCCAGAGCGTGGCACTCAAAGGCATTTTGCTTGGCACGCACACTTTGGGGCAGATGGCGGAGAAGGGCCCTGGGCTGTGCTACCACAACAAGGATCAGGCCCCTTGCAGCTCCCCTGCCATCAGCACCTGGCACACCAACATCTTACAAGTCGAGGCTGTGAGGGTTTTTGGCCCTCTGCCCATTATCATTGCTGACCCCTGCTAACCTATCGATCATATGTGACTGGCATAAATAGGTAATTATATATACAAGCAGTAGGAAAATTAATATAATAAAATGTGGAATGAAGGGATAAATTGCACTGTCATATAATGAAATATCTGTCTTTTACACTTTGGACTGTTTTATGAGCAGTCTGCTCATCAAGCTACCTGGTCTGATACTAGTCCTTTTTAGTAAATCAACCTCCCAGAATCATAGAATCATAGAAGTAGGGTCGGAAGGGACCTTGTAGATCTTCAAGTCCGACCCCCTGCCTGGGCAGGAGGAAAGCTGGGCTCAATTGACC